ACAAAAGAAACCAAAGAAAAAGGAAAATGGTTCAACAGAGGTAGAGGCGGCTACAAAAAATCGACTGGTAGAGGAAACCAAAATGTAGGAAACGTGTCTAATCAGAGAAGACCATACCAAGGCAACTAAAGAGGTGGTATTGCAAATAGAGGAAGAGGTAGTGGTCGAAAACCTGATAAGACTCACATTCAATGTTATAATTGTCAGAAGTATGGTTACTATTCGAGTGATTGTCCAGAAAATCGAAAGAATCAAGAAAGTGATGCAAAGTTTGCAAAACATGAAGAATAAGAGATGATGTTGATGGTCACAACAAGAGATGAAGATAGATTCAAGGACCAATGGTACTTGGATTCAGGATGCTCATCACATATGTCTGAAAGGAAATACTGGTTTGTCAACATAAATCCCTCAATGAAAAATATTGTAAAATTCGCAAATGACAATACCCTAGCAGTTGAAGGTATTGGTGATTTTATGATTATGATGAAAGATGGCAAGAGGTCAGTAATTTCTAATGTGTTGTACATACCAGGCATGAAGATCAATTTGCTCAATATAGGATAGTTGGTCGCAAAGAATTATATAGTCTCGATCGAAGATAAGATGATGAGAGTCGTCGACACAAATGGAAGATTAATCTTGAAGGCTCCTATGTCTCAGAATAGAACCTTTAAGATCTAACTAAATGTGAAGGAGCACGAGTGCCTTTCGATTGCAGCTAGTAGAGATGAATGGATATGTCATTATCGACTAGGCCATCTTAACTTCAGAGACATCAGAGATTTGAAGAGAAGAAATGTGGTTTCAGGATTTTGAGAAATCGACATTCCAAACGAGGTATGTGAGGAATGTGTGCAGGCGAAGCAGCACAAGAATAGCTTCAGTAAGGATGCAGGAAGCAAGTCAAAGGTTATTCTTGAAGTCATATACTCTGATGTATGTGGACCAATCCAGGTGGATTCGATGGGAGATAACAAATACTTTGTTACATTCATAGATGATTTCAGTCAAAAGCTGTGGACTTACCTGATTAAGAAGAAAAGTGAAGTGATCGGGGTATTTGCCAAGTTTAAGTCTATGGTTGAAAGACAAAGTGGTCGAAAACTCAAAGTTTTGAGAACTGATAGTGGTGGAGAGTACGTGTCTAAAGACTTTGATAGGTTATGTGAAAAGGAATGGATTATGCATGAGATGGTGCCACCCTATACTCCAAAGTATAATGGAACCGCAGAAAGGAAGAATCAAACCATCATGAATATGGTGAGAAGTATGTTGAAAGGCAAGAATTTACCTAAAGAGTTTTGGGGTGAAGCTGAGTCGACTGCAACATACATTTTGAACAGATGTCATACGAAGAAGCTAGAAGAAATTACTCCAAAAGAATGTTGGTATGGTGTGAAGCCTAACTTGAGTCATCTGAAGGTATTTGGATCTATTACACATAGACATGTTCCAGATCAATTGAGAAGAAAACTTGATGACAAGTCGAGTCAAATGATTCTAGTTAGATATCATTCGATAGGAGGTTACAAGTTGTTCGCCCCAGTGAACAAGCAGATTGTGATCAGCAGGGACGTGATCATAAATGAGCTTAAAGAATGGGATTGGACTGAAAATGTCAAGAAAGATTCTGTGGGAATCCTACTTGAAGAACCAGAAACTCAGGTTAAAAGAGAAGTTCAACAAGAGGAACCAACAGTTATAGATCAACCAAGTACAAGAAGACCTCAAAGAATAAGACGCAAGCCTGCAAGGTTGTAAGATTGTGTGATTACATCAGATGATGTGATATATAATAAAGGTGAGTTGGTACATTATAATTTCTATGTAGATGTCGAACCTGTCAATGCAGTTAAAGCATTGAAGGATTCAAAGTGGGTGAAAGCAATGAACAAAGAAGTGAAGTCTATCAAAGACAACAACACTTGGTCACTTGTCGAATTTGCTCAAGGCAAGAAGGCAATTGATATCAAGTGGGTATACAAAGTGAAAATGAATTCCAAAGGGGAAGTAACTCGACACAAAGTAAGGCTTGTGGCGAAAGTATTTCTACAGAAAGAAGGAATAGACTTCGATGAAGTTTTTGCACCTGTTACTAGGATCGAAACAATTAGGTTGGTTGTTGGTCTAGCAGAAATAAACAGATGGCACATATGTCAGATGGACGTGAAGTGTGCATTTCTGAATGGACCCTTAGATGAAGAAGTTTATGTTAAACAAACAGTTGGGTTTGTGAAACATGACAAAGAGAGAAAGGTGTACAAGCTGCATAAAGCCATGTATGGATTGAAACAAGCTCCAAGAGCTTGGAATAAGAAAATTGATAATTTCCTAAGGGAGAAGGAATTTGTGAATTGCACAACTGAACATGAAGTATATTTAAAAAGAAGCAATAGTGAATTGCTTATACTATGTCTCTATGTCGATGATTTGTTGATAACAGGTAGCTGCAAAAGTGAGATCGAAGACTTCAAAGGTGATCTCAGCAAGGAATTCAAAATGTATGATCTGGGTGAGATTTCATATTTCCTTGGCATCGAATTCTACAAGAGTAGTAGAGGTTTAATGATGCATCAAAGAAGATATGCAGGAGAAATTCTCAAGAGATTTGAGATGGAAGAATGTAACTCAACTTTGACACCCACAGAACCAAGACTGCAACTGTCGAAAGATGCATATGAAGATGATGTCAACCCAACCAAATATAGAAGACTTATTGGGTCATTGAGATACCTTTGTCATACAAGACCTGACTTAGCATAGTGTAGGTATGGTAAGTATATTCATTCAGAAGCCAAAGGTATCACATCTAGCAGCGATGTAGAGGATACTAGGGCATCTCAAAGGAACTCTCCACTATGTCATTTTGTTTCCTGCAACTGATAAAGGAAAATAATGCAAGTTAGTGGGATACACTGGTTTGAGTTGGTGTAGTGATGCTGAAGATCGAAAATCAATAGCGAGACATGTGTTTATGTTAGATGGTGTATCACTTGCTTGGAGTTCAAGAAAGGAACCAGTATTGGAATTATCATCATGTGAAGAAGAATACATAACTGCTTCTCTTTGTGCATATCAAGCAACTTGGATGGTGAACTTGATCGAAGAGATAACAGGGAAAAATCATGGAGAAATTACCATGAAGATCGATAACATGTAAGCTATCAATCTGGAAAAGAACCCGATAGCACATGGTCGAAGAAATCACATCGAAATAAGGTTCCACTATCTTCGAGAGCAGGTAGCAGATGGGAAGATGAATTTGGAACACTGCAGAACTGAGAATCAGATTGTAGACATCATGACGAAGGGAGTACATTTCGAAGTATTCAGAAGACTAAGAACCATGATGAATATAGATAGTTTAGACAAAATGAATTAGGTCGTGTGTTAAATAGTAATTCGATTGTGTCGAAACAATGTGTGTGTCGAAGGGAGGTTGCCCAGTCGAAAAGCTTGTGGATCAAAGCAAGCTACACACAGATTTGATTGGTTTTAGATTTAGATAAATTTGATTTAGATCTAAAATAGATAGATTTGATTTAGTACCAAAATAGGTATTTTGGGATTTTATAATTTTGGACTTTGGATTAGGGAGCAAGCTAACCTAAATCTATAAATAGAGGGAGTAACCCCTAATTTTATAATTAAGTCAATTCATTGTAATCACAGAATTTGCAGTTGCAAGTGATTAATAAAGTTTTCCACGGTTTGTGGGCATAGAGAAACTCTGTAGAAAATAATTGTCTTCTTTATTTTCTTTTCTTTTCTCATAATTCATTGTCATTGTGTGGTGATATCAATCTTGTTCATCAAGATCGGTAGAAATTCATCATAGATATTTGGTGGGTTTCCAACACTTTCAAGGGCAAAGTCGTAGATCCCTAAGTGTAGAACAGAAAACACAACTTAATATGATCTTAACACAAATAATATACTAATTTGAATATCTAGACTGTAATAGAAAACTACCATTTAATCATTAACTTACAATCAAATTTGACGTCGAATATCGAGGTGATGAATAGTTCCATAGAATAAAGAACAATATGAGTGATACACTAAAGAACCTGTGTATGAAAACCAAAGCCTGGAATTTCAAGAGACATCATTACAACATGACATGCAAGTAAGAATTAACTAATAACCATTATATGCCATTTTAAAATTCATTTTTCATGAAAAAAAAACTAACTACATTGTTAAATATGAATGCATATTGACCTGAAGCTCATTGTCCAAAGTCAATTCAAAATTGACAATAAATGTGTTCCCAGTTTCGATTACACTTAAGGGTCTGCATCTACAAAACACCTTGTTATTACTCTTAAATTCTATTATTTCATTGTAAAGCCGCTTTCACTCAGAAGAAGATTCATCCAAATACTTCTTTAGTTCGTATTCAGAACCTATAAACAGATAACAACAAAACTGAATAGAGTTTTAGTATTCATAACCTATAATCAAAAAATAGTGAGAACATACCGAGTAACTGAATAGAAAAGGACTCGGTTGTGAATTTCACACGATCATATAAGGCTACGTGCTGCTTCTTCAAATCCAAATGCAAGAAATAATCACAAAATTGAGTATGCCCATAAGGGTTTCTTCTACTCGAACATGGAAATCCCATTTTCGCAAATAACTGCATGTAAATATATATATATATATATATATATATATATATATATATATATATATATATATATATATATATATATATATATATATATATATATATATATATATATATATATATATATATATATATATATATAACTTAATAGTAAACTCAAAATTAATTAAACAATTGCCTTAGCTCGTCACTCGAACCACAAACTGTCATCCACTAAAATCGAAATGATAAATTTAAATCTCAAATGAAAATTAAAATTAAAATGCCATTAAACCAAAAAATATGAAAACGATTAGACCGTAAACAATTAGACCCTCTTACTCTTATTCTCTGCAAATCTAGAGATGATATATGTTGCCTTTTAATCTTTTGGGAAATCAATGGATTTCAAATACGTGGGAACTTCAAAAGACGATGCAGAAATCTCCTCCTAAAATAACTCAGTTGTTATATATTTTGAAGTTATGAGTATAGAGAAAACAATTTTTGAGAAAATCTGAGAAGGAAAAAAAAAGGTGAACTAACCTCATTGACATTCAGGCCAAGTGTTTCAAACTTCTTTCCATATTGTTTCCAAGACTTAGTTAAGTTGTTGGTGACAAAAACCAATCTTTTTCCCTAAGCAAGTTTGTCAAGAGATCCAAATCTCAGAGTTTGTGTAAAAAAGAACAATGTCATATTGAATATAATGGATGACAATAACATACACATGTATGATTCTGATTCATACCTCTGCCTAAAGCATGCCCATCGTTTTATGCACTCCTTCTATTAAGTTATCACATTTCCATATAACTCATGCAAATCAAGTTTCAAATGAGAAGAAAATGTAGGATTACATCAATATAGAAAGCATCAATGAAACCACTTCTTCATCACCGGAATTCGTTGAAGACACCATCCTAACCGGTGCCACCATCACTACTGTCACAACATTAGTCGTTATGGCTACTGTCATAGTCACAATCGGCGTTCCCGCCTCCGACAATATTTTTTGCCGCTGTATATTACGGAGTAGATTCTTCTCACCTCGTCGGAAACCCTCATTCGCAAATTCCTAGAAAATTGAAACAAAAAATTACCAACAGTTTAGAAAATGAAAATTCTACAAAAAATTACAAAAAAATGAAAATAATAAAACAGATAAAGAAAGTTAGTTACATAGAAAATCAAAAGCATCCAAACATAAAAAATTTTGTAATCACAACAAGGATGAATAGAGCAGGTCGTGCATGAATCCAACATAGATCCTAAATACCTTGCTTATAATCAGTTTCAAATCAAATAATCACGACTTTTAAATGGAAATCAAAAAGCGCAATGCGATCTTGACGATCGCCGGCAGCGAGGAGGAGAGGCGAGGAAGACGATTTAGAAGAGAGTAGATGACAGTTGAAAATGGTGAGAATGGGAGAAGAATAGAAGATGCTTGGGTAAGAATTGAAGATGAAGGAAGAAGGAAGATGATGAGGAAGAAAGAAGCAAAACGATAGAGAGAGAAAGATATAAAGAGAGGAAGATGAAATGAAAGAAGTTTGGAGATCGTAACGTATTTGAATCGGTTTTGAATTAAAGATCATGAGAACAGTGGTAGTGGAGAACAAAAACGATTCAAAAAACAATTTTTTTCTCCTCTCAATAAACTACGTGTTGTGATTTTGGAGCATAAAGACAAAATTAGTTTTTTGGATAAATCTGATTTTCTTATATTATAAATTTCTCTGATTTTAAGAAAAATGGACTTTGGTAATCTAAAATTTTACCATAAAGTAAATAAAATCTGATTAAAAATTATTTAATTAAAATTTAAAATTAAATTATTCTAAATGATTAGTTCTTTACATGAAATTTATTAATCGCTTTGAACTCAATCACTTAGTTATAAAAAACAATATATAAAACACGTGATAAAATTGTATTATTAAAAAAATATTCATCCTGTAAAAAAATTAAATAAATAATCATTTAACACTTAATTTTATCAATATTTTACAATTCAATTATAATCAAAATATTTGGTCATAGATTTTTTATTGCTTTTAAGCTTACAATAAAATTCTGTTATTTATCAATTACATGCATGATGTATATTGAGTTTGGGCCTTGTGAGAAATGAAGTTGATTGGGCCAAGACCAGGCCCATGAACATTGAAAATGTAATAATATAAAAATAAAACTTAATAACGCTAGAAGGAGGGGTTGAACCTCCGACCTTGTGGTTAACAGCCACACGCTCTAACCAACTGAGCTATTCCAGCTTCTTGTTAATTATGGAAATTCGTCACATTATATAAATATGTTACTCATGAAAGAAACATAATTTACGCTACATTGTTTGAATAAGAGAAATACAGGTTAGAAAAACTGCTGTTATATTTGTGAGTAACGTCACCTGAGGTTATGCAATTAGCCCAAAAGTTCTTTTATGTGATATTAAAGTTAAAGATAAATCACAATAAAAATGTATTTAATTATGATTGGAATATTGAAGCAAGTTTGAATAATTAGTCACAAAAAATTAAGCTACACTCTTCCTTTTTCTCACATGGTAGTTGATTTATAAGATAAGATTGAAGTTTCACTATAATGACACTAACATCATTATTTATGTGTTATATTTTTCATGGCCTTTGTAATTAGTCTAAGTAGTGATTAAAGATGATATCTTAAGAGTCTTTTGTTGGTCTACGTCAATTATATCTAAAGTGAAATCAAAAGGCTATGAAGATTATATAGCACATAAGTGATGACATTGAGCTTCATTAGTGAAACTTCGATCTTATAAATCATTTGTTGTATGCTAGAATATAAACAAGTTGGGAAAGGATAAACGTTGTTGCGAAAATGGTCAAAAGAAAAAAGGATGTATGAACTATATTATGAAACAAAAACTGGCAAAATGAAAAAGAAAATGAAAAAGAAAAAGAAAAAGAAAAAGACAAATAGATGAAGAGAATTAAGAAAGAAAAGAGATTATGAGTGAAAAAGATTTAAGACTAATTCATATCTTAAATCTAAGACTCTTTGAATTTCAAAAAACACAATGATTCTTTCTTGGTGTGACCACATTAAAACATGTTAAAAATCTTAGTGATCTATGATTGAAAGGCTTAAAAGAAAAAAAGTAAGTGACCAAAGGATTTGAAGGTCAAAGTTAGACTCAATTTGTTGGACAAATGTCTTCTTGAATAGCGAATTCAAGATATAGAGGTTAGATTACAAACCAAAGAGAATTGTTGGGAGAATCTATCCTTGATCAACGATTCTAAGAAAGAAAATTTAGAAAGTTATAAATAAGGACTTTGTGTCATTATGAACCTGAATAGTCTTAGAATTAGTTTTAATTTTATTCTATTGTTATGCTAGTGTGAGAGAGCTTAAGTGTTTTTCAAGTCAAAGACTTGTCGAAGTGGAGTTAGAAAAGGATTAACAAATCATCCAATGTCGGTCTTCTTCTACTTTTTTTATTCTGCTACAATCATTATTAGTAACTAAGTTCTCTCTTGTTAGAGTTAGAAATATATGCTACTACAAATATATGCTACTACAACTTATTTGCATTACATTTTATCACGACATTATGCCCAATTTAATTATTCAATCATATTTTCCATTTAATATCTTGTCTAATGTATGTTACATCTTTGCGAATCTTTCTAATATTGAGAACCACGCTTAAGCTTAGACTAATCATAATGGATTTATGCCTAAACATAACTTGATAAATTATAATTTGATTTATGAACTTAGATTGTCATTTGTACTTGCTAAAAACTACAATGAGAGATAATCTCTTAATGTGTAGGGTTATCTGATGTCTTTATGGTGTTTAGATTGCACGTAGGACTAGCTAACGCAAGGTGGTGAGGAACTCCGAGTTCTCTTTCTAGATAAAATTGGATATATCCCTCAATTATGGAATTGAGATATTTATAGAAGAATCCTTGGACCTGGGTAGGAAAACCAAAATGTGGTATCCCTTGCTCCATGATCAGAACCATGGGAGTAGTGGAAAACTCATTATCCCTTAATTTATGGGAGAGGGGTTTTCTTGTTGACTGGCCTCTTCGCCCAATTATTGTTTGGACACGCCATCTCTCACATTTTTTTAGTAATTAGTATTGGAGTTCGGGAGGCCTAATGAGGTGACATGTATTTCCGCTCCAAGGTGACTTGCATTGTGTGTTTTAAGCATCTTATTGGTTCTTAGGATGCTCGGCCAATACTGTTGTCCCTGGGTTGTCTTACTTTCATACGAACTATCCTTTCTTAAGGCCTAATAAAATTATACCAGTATATAATCCCTCAAGCACGAAGGCATGTAAAGGGATAAGTAATTTAATCTCGGCATATGTTATTTATTTTCGGGAAAGACTGAGAGAGTTGAGTCCCTTAGGGAATACTTTTAGTTGAGTCTCTCAAGCGAGTCTTTAAGTTGAGTCTCTCGAGCGAGACTTTTAATTGAGTTCCTCAGAAGATACTTTAAGTTGAGTCTCTCACGTAAGACTTTAAGTTGAGCCTCTTATAAGCAATATCAACACTTGATGTAAATAAAAAATAGTCCAGAAAATTTCCTACAATTCAATTGATAATGCAATGCTATTTGAAAAATTGATTGATGAATATTGAAGCAAGTAAAAGCAATAAGAAACGAGGCGCGAGGATTTGTCTTCACAATTCTCCACTTTCGTCCTTGCGCGTGGGTACGTTAGCGCCTAATTCTAATAGAATTAGGATAATTCTTACTATACAAAAAAGTTTATACAAGAGAAGTGTTCAAGAGAAACTCCACAAACCCAAAGCTTGTTGTTGATTCAACCCCTTCTCCTCTTTTGATCTTGAGAAATACCAAGACACAATAGATGAAAATTGACTATCTGGATCTTGCTATTCCTTTGCATGCTTTGTCTCCAAAGCTTTTGTGCACCGTCAATTTAACCTATTGTAACACAAGACCTCAATTATAATCTGCCGTTCTCTCGCTACTTCCTTGCATTCTTTATCTACAAAGGATCCCTTGCATTCTTTATCTCCAAAGGACTTCACTTGGTCCTAATTACCTCTTGAATGTCTTTTATGAAAACTCCCAAATGAATCAATGATCTTGGAGGACAAACCCACAGTTTTTCCGGATGAAGACCCTTACAAATCTCAACCCAATATCTTCGACTATAGAAGAAACTAATCGGATGTTATCAAACCTCATCTAGATGGCCCCCAACAGAAGAAATTACAATAGAATATTAGTGTGTATGCATAGATTGGAGGTTGAATATAAAGAAAAAATATAGGCTAATTTATGGTATCATCAAGTTATGAATGATGCATGAATGATGTATTTATAGTTTTGGAAATTTAGTGCAAAAATGATGTATTCAAAATTAAAAAGATTTACAAAATTGACCAAAATAATTAGTATGTGTCGACCTATATATCGTATGTGTCGACACATATGTTAGGTTTAGACTGTATGTGTCAACCTGAAATAATGTATGTGTCGACCGAAACAAGTCATAGGCTACAAGCTTTAAAACAACAGCAAATGTGTCGACCTATAAATTGTATGTGTCGACACATAAAATAAGAATTTCTGCAATTTCAGAAATGCTTCAGTATGTGTCGACCTATGTAATACATGTGTTGACCTGAGCCTTCCAGAGGCTATAGGCTTCAAAATTGAGTTGCACGTGTCGACCTGAGCCTTCCAGAGGCTACAGGCTTCAAAATTGAGTTGCATGTGTCGACTTGAAAAACAAATGTGTCGACACACTCAATAAAAAATTATGCAGAAACTTGTTTTTAATGACTTGGATCGATTTCAAAATGCTTTCTAATAATTCTTAAGACCTCTAATGTAAAGGAGTTCCATAAGACATAGATATATCGTCCAATGTACTGAAGTGCTAGATTTTTCCACTTTTGACATCATGCAAAACATATAATGACGAAGTTATACTC